CTCCATTTTCACTTTTTTTTTTTTAATGGTACAGTACAGTTATTTTATGCTGCGGAACGAATTATATGTTTTAACATGTATTTCTATGGAAAAATGCGTTTCGTATAACGGACTTTTCACTTAATGGACATGCACCTGGAATGGATTAAGTACGTTATACGAGGCACCACTGTAATTAATTTATTGCATTTATCAAAGAATGATTATCATCATGTATTTTCTTTTGTGTTATTTTGTTCTAAGCTATTTCATTAATTTGTTAAATTTTACTAATTTCAGATATATATAATATGTATAAAAATTATTATTATTATTGTGTATTACTAAGCTATTATATTAATTTGTTATATTGTATTAACTTCATTTTTTTTGTAATATTTTAACCCTCTTGTAACAAACTAAGATTCATACAATAAAGAATTGAATTAAATATATTTACTAAATTTACCTCTTAATAAGTTTCCTGAATTTTATAAAATAGTAATAAACTTCAAAAGAAATCAGAAATTGTTGTGTTACACAATCAAAATTATTAAAATGAAAAATAATAAATAATACCATTTAAATTAAAATTATTTATCATATTTTGTACCATATAAATTTTTGGGAAAATGTCTTTGTATGCTTGGGAGAAATTTTAGGTCCTGAAAATATTCTCCATAAGTTGTGTGCACCACATTAGGTGGCATGCATTTATTGTGACAACACTGAGACAGGGGATGGTGTTGGGAAAGTATTGACAAATGCCAACATGGGGAGAGGAAGTCATCTGGGGTTTGCACATACAAAATATCGAGGTTGTAGCCGAAGTTTTCATCTCTAAAACATGAATGTCAAACAAGCTTGTAAATGGTGCTTGACATTCAATGTTCACACTTTAGAGATGAAAACTTTAGCCGCAACCTCACTAATAATTCATTTATTTTGGAATATTCTGTTGTTAATTGACATTCATTGTACATATGATTGCGAGGATGGAAAGGGGGAGGCTGTGATGACGACAAATTGTACACAGGAGGAGGAGCGGGAGTAAAAAATAAAGCAAAAATCTGTCGTTGCAATACATGCACACCATCTTATTTCTTGTTGCCTACAGACAGCTACACTTAGTCAACCAAAACAAAAAAAAATCACAAAAGACTTCTCAGAAGGCATTCCTCAACTTTTTGACAATTTTCCTAAATTTCTATGACTTTTTCCAAACACTAATGAAAATCTGACTTTCCAGGTGTATAGGAATCCCACACATAAGAAAATACAGTGGTACCTCAGGATACGAAATTAATCCATTCCGAAACTGAGATTGTATCATGAAAATGTCGTAAGGTGAATCATTTTTCCCCATACGATTACGTGTAAAACCAAATAATTTGTTAGAACACAAAAAATACACTCAAATTAAAGCTAAGTAATACATTAAAAAAAATAACTATAGTAAGGAAAACACTGAAAAATGTGTTTTGTAGTTGTAAATGTATAAATAACCATAAGAGAATAATAATTGGATAAGGACAATGTGGTGAGAAGAATTCTTCATGTTTTTAATGTAAAGTGTCAAAACCTATAACAGAAGGCTGACACTTGATCGTTTTTAACATTGTGAACCTTTTTTTACTTGTTTACCTTTGTTTTAAGAAGTATATTCTTCAAAAAAACCCATGTTAACTGTTACTTCTGGAGTGTATTAAAAAGGATTAAGATAGACTCAAAAATTTGATATTTTTGTAAATAGTCTGATCTTCAATTATGAAGAAATATATCCTGAGTAATTACAGAAATTGTATGAATAATAATTGATTAAAAAAATGTAGTTTTATTTGCACTTTACCTCTGAGGATAGACGACGGTGGAGGTGTAAACTGGTGGCGGAAGAGAGGGAGAAGGGAAATGATACTAAAACTTAACTTACATAACATAATGTAACAATAACTTAAAAATAACTTAGAAAAGATAAAAAAATTTAGTGTTTTATATATATATA